GATACCAAGGTCTAGTACCTAGTTGTAGTAGTCAGATAGGCAAGAACCTCCAAGTTAGGAGTTTTGGAAGTACTACCAACTAGGTTATCAGAATAAACTAAAGAAAAAAGATATCAAGCTGATCTGATATACCGATGGATTGATCATAGTCCTACACAAACTATCTGAATTGGAAGTTTGATAAAAAGACAGAAGAAAAGGCAAAGGTATACTAAAGTACTAAAGTTATACTATAAAGTAAATGCTAAAGTCTAAGTAAACTCTACAAGAGCATAGCAGTTTAATGATTAGACCTGACTGCAAGTGTTGGTTCTGCTATAGCAATACCTAGGTCAGTTATAAAAATAGGTACAGAAGGCTCTAAAGGGTTTACCTCAAGGATAAATTAGTTCTAAGGTTGAGACAATGATTTGGACATCTGAGTATAATCTAGTAATATTAATACAGATTATAGGTTCAAAGGGTTTAAAGTAGAACATCCAAGCAGATATATTAGGTATGACAATTGGTAGAGAACTTTTAAGTGGACTTCTTAAATAAGTAATATAGAAAATTTATACGTGTAGCCAATTATACACTCTTATGTAGTGATTCATTGAACCACAATACTGATAAATGATTAATAAAAGTCAAAAGACCAAAGAGATTACCTTAAAAAAAAAAAAAATTATCATCCTTTATATAAACTAAAATATTGTATTAAGAACTATAGACTTAAAATTAATATTTAAAGAGTTCATCAAAAATTTGTAAATAATTTTTTTGATTAAAAATTTTTTCTAAATTTGTCTATTTTTAACTTATAAGTAATATATAATTTTTTTCTTATAATATAAAATTAAATATTGCTATAATATATAATCCTTATTTTCAAATATTATCAAATAAAATTTTATTTAAATATTTTAAAATTTAAAAAATGTAAATCATAAGCATATTTTACTAATTTTTTAGACAAATTTGCCTAGAAAAGCTTATAAATTAAGGGATAGAATATAAAAATTACAAACAAAAAAATAATAATTAAACTGATAGATTTAATAAAAAAAGCTTTAGAAATGCTATTACTAAGAACTTTTAAGAACAAAAAAATAAAAATAATACATGTTCTTTTAAATAAAAATAAAAATTAAAAGTATAATAATAGTAATAATATAACTTTTAAAAAGTTAAGTAGTAAGCTAATAAGTTATTACAATTATACTCTATACTAAAGACTAATTAAAAATAAAACTAGAAATAAGAATATGCTAAATATAAATTACAAAGATAAAAAAATATAATACAAAAAATAATATATATTAAAAAACTAAAAAAAAACAAAATTATAAAGAAAAAATAAAAAAAACTGAAGATATAGAAAACAAGAACAGAAAAGACAATAAAAAAATAAAAAAAGATAATAAATATTTAAGAAAAATAAATTAACATTAAATTATCTTATAAAAATATTGAAAAAATTAAAAAAAAATAAATAAAAAGTAAGTGTTGTTTGCTTAGTATTCCTAAAAGTTGCTATAGTTAAAAATACAAATATAAATAAAGAAATTACAGACTTTTTGCAAAATAAAAAGTGTTTTAAAAAAATATAAAAAAAATTCTTGTTTATTCAAATTCAATAACTAAAAGTATATAAAAAAAGAAAAAATAGATATAATAAAAAAAACAATAAGTTCAAAAAAAATTAAAATAAAAAGATAAAAAAAAGCTTAAAATAATATATTACAATATCAACAAACTTAAAACTAATAAATAAAAACTAGAAAATCTTTTAGTTTAAATAAAAAAAGGATAAATATTAATTTTAAGAACAACAGAAATAAATATTATAGAAAAAAATTCTTATTATATAATCATAATATACAATATAAAAGTTACTAGACTAGTGCAGTAGCAAACAAGAAAAGAATTAAATATAAGAATACTAATAGATAAAAAATAAAAAAATTATATTAAAACAATTAAAAAGTCAGTAAATATATAATAAAAGTATAATTATACTTTAAATAATTAAAATTAGTAATAATAAGAGTATATATTTTATTAAATAATAAACTAATTAGTAAAAAAAATTTAGCAAAAAATTATAAAAATAATAATAAATAAAAAGAACATACAGAAGTAATTATACTAGAAGATTTCAATTACATAGTAAATAATATACTAAATAGACAATATCTATAAGCAATAAATTATAAAAGATTACTAATATTCAATTAACTTAAAAGATGAGATTTTATAAATTTATATAGAAGCCTATATTTATTAAAAAACTTATATATACATAATCAAGTCATTAAGCTGTAATAAGAATTAACTATATTTAGCTATTAGAAACATTTGCATTAGGTTTTTAGAAAATAAATATAGAAAAATAAAACTTTAACAGATAATAATCATAAAATAATAATAACAAAAATATAAATATAATATATAATTATATACTGTAATAGTATGAAAATCAAATATAAAAACTAAACAAAAATAATATATCTCTATAAAGAAACAAAATAAAAAATTAGAAAGAATATATAAGAGAACTACAAAATTAATTAAAATAAAAAGAGTAATGAAATAACTGAAAAACAATAAAATAAGTATAGAATATAATACAAATATGCTAAACCTTATATAATTAAAGCAACAAATAAAAAAATTTCAAAAAAGATATTTAATATAAAAACAAACAAAAGACAAAATTATAAAATTATAATAGTAAATATATTATTAAATTGTAACAAATAATCAAAAAAACAAAAACAAAAAAAATCAAAAAGAAAAAAAAATCAAAATAAAAAATAAGCTTAAAGTTATAGAAAAAAATAGAAGTAACACTATCAAAACTATATAGGCAATAATTAGAAGTCTAGATAGATAATATAAAAGATTAACAAAAATATTTAAAAAGAAAAAAAATACAAATAAACTTAGAAAAGACAAATAGAAAAGAATATAAACAAAAGATATAAAATAATTAATTCTTAACAGATTTGTAATATAAGACAAAAAAAGTCAACTTAATAACAGAATTAAATGCAGTTTTAAACAATTTGACAAAACACTTTAAAACCTAATTTAAGAAAAAAAAACCAAATATTATATATTAAAATGATTAATATATAATATTTTTAATATATAATAATTTAATAGTTATATTTTGTTAAATCTAAAATACATAATTTATAAATAACTAATTTTATTATATATTCTTTATTATATAATTACAAATCATGCTTTTAGTTGTAAAAATCTTTTTCTAAAATTATACTTATAATATTAATAATAATTATAATACTTATATTATATATATTAATAATAAAAGATGTAATAATCTAGTAAAATAAACAGATTGTCAACTTTCAAATAATAGGTTTAAAATTCAATTCTTATAAATGATGAATTTTAAAAATTATATTTATATTATAATAACTATTTTTTATCAATTAGTTAGATTTAGATATCTGTAAACTTAAGTATATTAAGTTAGATTCTATTTGATATTAGAAGCTCAAAGCATTTATATAAAGTATAACATTATATATATATAAAGAAATATAAAAAACTAATATTATATAAAACTTTAGAGCAAATTTATAATAAAACTACTAAGTATAGAAGACTAAGAAATCAAGAAGACAGAAATCTATTTAAAAATTTTGAATAAAGAAATAGTATAAACTTTTGACAATATTGTTAAACTAATAAAAGACTATAAAATATTCTCAAAAAAATAGACAGATAAATTAGACAATAGGTATGTAAAGAAAACAAATATACCAACTAGGTTATCAGAATTATTAAAAATATATATATATATAAGTATATTATATCAGACTATCTAAATTGGTAATCTAAAAAATCCTATCAGTTTTAAATAATAATTAGTAAAAAAAGATGAAAAAGATATTGAAAACATAAATACTAAAATTTTAATGAACTTTATAAAAATAAAAACAATTTAATAATTAACTATAACTATAAATATTGAACTTGACTATAACAAAACTAAATTAACTGTAAATGAAAATATAGAAAACTTTGAAAAATTAATATTGAAGATAAATTAATTCTAAGATTGAAACAAGAATCCAAATTCTAGGTAATCTAATGAAGTTAATACATACAAGAGTTGTAAATCAAAAGTTTTAAAATAAAACATCCAAGCAAAAATGTTAAGTATAACAATTAATAGAAAACTTTTAAACAAACTCTTTAAATAAATAATATAAAAAAATTACACATAACCAATTGTACACTCTTTCTGTAATAGTTTAATATAAACATGTGTTTGACAAAAGTGTTAATAAAATCAAAAGATCAAAGAGATCACCTTAATACCAAAATATATATATATATATTAATAATAATTGTTATAATAATATATGCAATATAAACAATATTATCACTATACTGTATCATCTTGAAATAATGCCTAAAGATGTTATTTAAGAACATATTGCTTGAAGAGAGCTAATAATTAATTTAACTGAAGACTTTTAATAACCAAAAATTATGATTTTCATTAATAATTAGTTCTCTTCAAGCAATGTGTCTTGAAATAACACCCTGGATCATTATTCATGATGATACAGTAAGCATGATAATGGATATTAACATTCTAGAAATAGATAATATTTTTCTTATAAATATAATGTACATTGATTTAAGTGTATAAAACAGATTTCATTATTATACAAACATTGAATAAGGATTTTTCTATGAGTGACTATAGAGAATCATTGTTAAAGTAAAAACTCACCTGTAAAAACCCAACCCGTTTTATTCCTGAAGTAGCATAAAATACTGCAGTTTTAGTAAGATTAAAGGGATAGTCTCGATGTAGTGTGACTATCTTTGATAACCCGTCCCGAATCAAACCACTTACCAAATCTACATGCCTTTTTCAACCGAAATCTGTCCGACCATTACACGAAGTCGAACCTCGATGGTCTATCACCAGATAAGGAAGATTAGAATAATTTTTAAGATATAATAAACAATTATCTAGCATAATCAAACCTTGGATATTTAAGAGTAACCCACGCAACATCGACTTCAAGAATTTTATGTAATTCCTTGATACGAAAATAACCATTTCTATTATTCACGTATTCTTTGTTATCGTTGTTATCAACACGATCACTATTCTTTGGACGAATAACATCATAAAAGACACCTTTAGTGTCTTTTACATTTTCAACCATTGAGAGTGATCATTTATCTCATCTCTACGTCATTTTGAACCAAAGAATAATAAATTATTTAATTTTAAAAATTTTACGAGGGAAAATTTGGAAGGGATTGAAGTTTTAGTTTTGAGTGAGGTTTTGAGGATTATATTCTGTGGTAAAATGATCAGACTGAGACATATATTGGGAAAAATGCGAAGATAGGTTCTTTTGAAGAATCTCGAATTATATTATATATATTTTTTTTCATGATATCATTATGATAATAGGTGCTGAAAAAATTTTAACGTTAACGGTTGAGATGTGTAACCAATTAGATAACGTGATATTATACGGCATCTTATCAAAGTATATAAGCAATATATACCAAATAAAACTTTATTAACATATTCTACATATTAATAGGAATAAATTTTTTTTTTTGAATTTTCATAATCTATGAAAAAGGTGAACTTTGCTCAACTGATGATCCGACATCTTGGCTAGTGTTAACCTGAATAGTGTCGGCCACCCCGTTACCAAATAATAGGTTACAAAGACCATCGAATGACAGCTGCAGTTGTACAAGCTCTTATTGGCCTCAATAATATCAATTACATTTTACATCCATATTATATCTTTATTTCCTATATCTTTATTTTATTAGTCTTATATTAAGCTACAGCATGTATATGTTGTAAGTGGAAACGGAATCTAAGCGGATTCGGAATTTTTATACAAAACCAGCATTTTGGGGTTGATTTTATCATATAAACACCCTTACTCTAACCCTAATTTAACTAGGAAATTTCAAATCCACTTAAATTCCGTTCATATATATGCCCTTTGGAATCGGAGTGCTTTCACTTGCCATTACTTAATAAAGAGTAATCGTATCTTCATACACGAATAACTCGAGGCTTTACAAATAAACTGATACACGTCTATTTGTACATTTAGTCGTTTGCCTCTTTCGTAATTGAAAATCACATTAAATCCTCCTCAACGTTAGTATAAATTTATTAGCACAATACATATATTATACAAGAAGAACACGGGACATTCCGTTTATTATCGTCTTTAGTTATCCCGTCTAGTCCGGGTGTACCACCAGTTATCAAATAAACCAATTTTAATATATAATTTAGTGTCTACAATCGACATCTAATTCAACTCTAAAGGTTGCAATAGGTTGTAACACCCCTATAATAACTCGTATATAATTGTGAATATATCTTTAGTTATTGATGATAATATTCGTCATCAATAATTCAAAGTCAATATTTCACGAAAATTTCGTTAACAAGGTGACGATGACAAATCAATTATATTAAAAGTGATGCGAATTATTTCATAGTGAAGGTAAGTTTTATACCTTTATATTTAAGAAAAGGATATGTAAACTTTGAAGCTTAAGAAATGGATACTTTTAATTCTAAAAAACATTACTTGTATGTGTGTGAGGAATTCGAAATTTTGATTGGTTGTTCATAATGCAAATAATTTTAACGATTTGATTGGTTGATCTGAAAAATAATTATGTAATTGAAAAATCGGCGGAGAATTTACTATTACCTTAACATAATATTGGAATGCTGAAAGTTTCTGGTAATATGTAAAAGTCATATAGTTTATAAAGGAGAAAACGTCAATAACTTGCGGTCTACTAAACCAATTTGAATAATTCTACCACTATTAGAACCGGAATAACTTGCTCTATAGTCTTTGTTAAAAACTCAAGAAAGGTTTACTTGTCATAAAAACTTTTATTATAAGTTAGTTGCATTCCAACCCTATCTAAATTGCAATTGACTCATTGTAGCTGCACCACCAATCAATTTGATTGCACCACCAATTATTAAAAAAAAAAGTAATCACTAATTTCCAATTCTGATTTCCCTCAACAATTTTTTTTTTGACTTTTAGACTAGACAAAGTTTGCACATTTCTCATTAACTCCTATTTCTGCAAAATGAAAAATATGCAAATTTTATTTAGAGATGGGTTTCATGCTCATTTTTTTTCATCTAAATTTTATATATGAAATTTAAGTATATATAATTTAGGCAGATTGCATAATGCCAGGCGGAATTAAGAAATAGAACACAATTGGTCTGAAAAATCCCAAAAAGAAAATGAATGAACATAAAAAACAAGAAGAATCAGGCAAAACTTGAACCAATATCCAATATTTTCTGAAGGGAAAATATAAATTCCAAAAATTATATCATGCGATTTCATGCGCATTAATGCGCATTTTTCCCATCTCTACTCTTATTTCTATAAAAGATAACAAAATAATAGATATGCAAATTTTGTCTAATCTAAAAGTCAAAAAAATGAAGAAATCGAAAATTAGTAATTACTTTTTTCAAAGTTCACATAATTTTGCAAACCGCAATAATTGCAAGCGGATGTTGTTCGCTCTACTTTGTATGCATGCTTAGCTAGAGATGCTAGAGATGGGACACTGCGCAGGCGGAATGTTCCGGAAGCTCGGAATTATTCGGAATATACCGGAATTTAACAGTTCTGGCCCGCATTAGCCGTAACGCGGGCCTGCACAGTAGATTCAAAAAATCCTCGATTTTTTCCCATCTCTATGCTTAGCATATACAAAGACACTATCGATTCTAAAATCCAAAGTACACTCCTTCGTATTACCCTCTTGTTTATATACTAACGACTATAATATGCTACTGCACGGTTTTGTTTCTCTGTTCTCACGTGACTCATTGTTATTAATTGTCTTGATTCCGAAAAGTATCAGGGAATATAAAAATTTTCATGTGCACGTGACTAATTAAACCGCGTAAACATGAAACAAATATTGTAAGTAGGAACGGAATTTAATTGGATTTTTGAATTCCTTAATAGGATTATAATTTTAAGGTATACATGTGTGCCTAAAGTGCCTATCATAATAAAAAATTATTACGGCATTTAGTCAGCCGACATTAGCCTTTTATATAGTTATTATACCGAAATTTTTGAATTCTTTTCATCAAATACATTATATATCATAGTTACTTTAGAGATTTCTTATAAAAAATGTATCAATGCCAAAATGTTCGCCGGAAATACTTTTTTTTTAAAAAAAAATAATTTAGGCACACATCTATATTTTAGGATGGAATTTATTTTATATGAGCTTACACTCTAAAATCCTAAGAAATTTCAACTTACAACAAATCTATTTGGGCATTTATCAAGCTTATGGGGATGGAAGAAATGATTTTTGTATATATGATGTAGTCAGGGATGGTAAATGACCTGAGATGACCCAAATATCAAATGACTAATCATTAGGTTATTTCAGAGCCTAAATGACTTAGGTCATTTAATATATGGTATTAATATTCTAATACCTTTTAACCAATCGAAATTGACAATCTATGATCATCGATCAGGAAAGTAATAATTTTCATGAGCAATTCGACCAATAAAATTATTCTATATGCCAATTACCTGACCTGGTCATTATTTGATAACTTGGTGTCATTTGAATTTGATCAAATGACAAGGTCATTTACCATCCCTGGATGTAGTTGAATTGTATAAGTCATTGGGAAGGAAAGTTTCATTGATATAAATATTTTTCTTGTGCAATATTTTTAAAATCTTTAATATAAACATCTTGAGGATCAGTTGTTACATGAAATTCCATACAAGTGAAGGATTTAAATTTTGAATAAATGATAAGGTTCAAAAATACGTAAATAAAAGGAATGATATAACATACGGTGGCCGAATAGGATTATTAATAAATCATTCTGAATATTAGGCTATGCAAAATTAATTTTGGATTTTCATAATACGTATAAAGTTGTAAAAAATGATTCAACAATTCGGCATTTATTGATGTTTTAAAAAAATCCTACCCAGTATTAAGTATAGGCAAGAAATTTTTTAAAGTTTAATCCAGCTAGGTTATGTGAACCCATTTGTGAAAAGGAAATTTTGTTCATGTAGCCGTACAATGTGATCGGGCTAATAATATGTGGCGCAGCATATGCGTTAGATGATTCGTACTCACGTGAACAACGTCAAGAGTTAGAATATAACCAAATATTTATGCAAATAGAATAGCAACCTCATAAATAGGAACCTCTTCCTTCGATTCCTTTTTGTTACCGATCCCATAAAGAACATTGTATGTTATATTTTCAGGAAAAAGGCTCGGATTATGGTGAGGCCTATCATTTAATGATGAAAATGAATTCGCTCTTGGAGTACGAAATTCGACATTCATATTTTTTTCTTTATCGATATGATTTAAATGATGGATTTGGCTTTCAACTTCTTTAAGAAAAAAAGGGAAAAATAATATTAGATTTATGTTAATTGAAATGAAATTAAAGGAATGCTTAGGTATGTGTAAGCGTAAATTAGATTTGCTTCAAATTCTATTATGGGTTGCTCCAGGTTGTTTCAAATTTATAAATATATTTTTAAATTCATTCTAAGTTGGACTGAGTTCAACCTGGAATATGCTACACCATTAACAACCCTAAATATATAATTTACCACTATCATTAATCAAAGCATCAAACCCTGGTTAATTTGGAGGTATTCTTGATTAGTAATAATGAGGTGGGTTGGTAAAACAGCAAAAAAATGAATATGTCCTTACGTAATTGTATTTCTTGAGTATTAGTGCCTCGAACTTCATTTTGATTACGAAACAATTTGTCATTATAATAAGCATGAGACATACGTTTACTCTCTAATTCAGATACATGTCCCATAAAATTAAGATCTATTATATTACTAATGTTTGCTGTTTTTTTGGTTAAAATTACAAACGAAGGGGGACAATAACCAATTTTCGCCCGCCGAGTTGCTAAAGATTCGATAACATCACGTTTTATTCTCGGAGTAGGACCACGTCGCTTTCTCTCAGTGATAAAATTACAGATTTGATTTTTTTCCCGACATTTGGTACATTCGGGAGGACCTGAACATCTAATTTTTTTTGTTTGGCAGTTTTGGCAAGCAGTTGTGACTTTAGTCCTTGGTATCATGATGGAGACAAGAAATATGTGAAGCTATTTCTTGAAATCTGAGAGAAGAAAAAAATTTTTTTTAATATGCTTATAAGAAAAATACACATACAAGTTGTTTGAAAGCGATAGCGGATTAATTTTTGTTTTTATATGCGATGTAAATGTGAAGACACCTGATGATTCATCCTACTATAAGTTTAGTGTAAAATTTCTACATAAAAAAAAAAATACCCATAAAATGTACCTGGGGTATAGACTCCTAACCCTAAACAAATAAATTTAGTTTAAAGCATTTATTATATCGAATTCACGTGTTTCGAACTCTTGCATGCTAAAAAGAAATTACATTTCTTAACCGAATAGAAGTCATGATTTTAACTGTCTAAATTCTAAATGAGATATATTAAGGATATATATGATATAACACAGTTTATTCTTTACCCAAGAGTTGTTGTAACAGTACCTCAGCCTGATTTAATTGATATCCGTATTCTATATATGGAGTACGCCAGACGTACAATTAACATTTTAATAATTAATAGGTTAGTGTAGCCCATCAACTTGGTTATATATATAGTTCCACGTAAAAGTGACTGGTCAAACCTTAAGTTCTACAATGCCATGCAATGAATAAGAGATATTTACACATCACGCGATCGATAGTGTTTAAGAGTCTCTAAAATATCCTCAAGATAAAATAATACCAAACACATTGACATAAAATAATGTTAAACACATAGATAGAACACATTTTAGAATTTATGCAAGAGAACAACAGGCTTACAATGCAGCATTTTTGCTGACTCAAAGAATACTCCTTATTACGCATATAAATGACGAAGTCTAACTTTATCTGATATCTATGAATATTACGTCATGTGCATTACAGAATTTGTGATAAGCCAAAATGCTACACGTGAAAGATGAGACAAGTTAAACTATTATGTCTGTGTGTTTTCTTGCTTTTTTACATTTTACAATACGTACATATGTACATAGTTTCGGCTAAAATGACCTACCAATTAAACATTTCTTTAGCATACTTTTTTATTTTCTGATACAAACCAAAACAGAGCTCAGTTCCGTATTTGCATGAATAAGAAAGTCAAATAATTCTTTATGTAAGTATAACCATCAAAAAAGGTTTGTAACATATTATAATTCTTGCATTTTAAAACATTGATGCGAACACAACAAAGAAAATGACTTGCTTATTGTAATGTAATTTAAGAGCAGTTATAGGAAAAAGTCTGTGCTTACAAGTTTTTATACAAGACAAGGAGTGACATAAAGTTTTGACCATATGACATTGGAGATAATTAAGTTTATGGAGGTTATCTTCCATTAGGCCACACAAATTTATTCATACCATGAAATGAAAATTTTAAACAGACCTGGCCGGCTGGCTTTTTTTTTTACAAAAAATTTCATATATAAAAATTTTTTTTAAAACCCACCCGGTTATTAAAACATATAAAAAAATGTTTTACAAGTTTTCGGATCTTAACCCGGCCGATTTATGAAAATCAATTAATTAATTTTGCATGGCCTTATTGAAGGCTTTTTTTTTTTTTGAACCCCAAGACAACGTGGGGGAGTCAGTAGAAACGCACCATATCATTTTTAATGAAATTTTTTGAATCTTTAAACAAAAATAACTTATCAAATATTTAATCAAATTTAATAAAAAATTTTTTTAAATGAATTCTATATGTTTTTAGAATTGTTTTAAAATTTTTTTTATTAAATTTGTTAAAGTTGTTGTTGAGTTATCTTTGTTTAAAGTTTTATAAAAATTTACTTAGAAAAAATATGGTGCGTTTCTACTGACTCACCCCCACGTTTATCTGTGCACGTCACGTGACACGCCATTAAAATTTTAAAATGATCTTTATGAGAAAAAATTTGGTTTATAATTGTGTAACTTAAACCAAGTGCGTACGTCGTACCTTGGACATGGTATACGATACCATGGTTAGGTATATACCCCATTTCTGCATCTACAGGGGAATATGCTAAATCGGTGCGTCCCTTAAAGCGGATATTGATTTACATACTGCATAACGATAAATCATATTCTTAATATGCTCATCAAAAAGGTAATATCAAAAAAAACGTAACTTTTTAACCGGCTTTAAGGACCTAAATCGGGAAACATTCGGAAAATCGTTACACAACTTATTAAAAATCTTTTCAATGAGAAAAAAATATCTGATGCTTGCTATCAAGACAAAACCTGTAAACGAATATTTAAGCTATCACTATGGTGAACTTAACCCCTAAAGACCGTAATATATATTATGTATCGAATCAAAGCCCGTTGGCAGGTTTCCCTTGGCTGATTCATGTTATTTAATATGTAATATCACAACATTCCCAGGGTTAAGTGATAACTTATTGCGCTTTGCAAAAAAAGTGTACCCCACAATTTTCGTGATAATGATTCTAAACAGTCTATCAATTATATTTGAAATCTGTAAAATTCTCTTAGAACCGTCCAGCTATTTCTAGCATCTAAAATAGCACTAGCGATATCACGAAAACAGCCAAATTAAAATTCGATAAATTTTTCTTATTTTATTGTCCGAAGCGTAGCGAGGACGTTTATACTTCTACTCCATTTCATGCAATGTCCGTTAAAGATAACCAATCAAATTTTTAGATTAGGTAACACGACAGATTCTTGCATATTTTATGCTTTGGACTTATAACGGTTCCCGTTTTCCTAGTTTTATGATCGAATTAAAATAGACTGGTTGAATTTGTGATATCGTTAGTGCTGGAAATAGCTGGACACTCTAACATGACATCATGATCTGCAGGGGTCGCAAAGCGCAATAAATATTTACTTTCAGGTTTTGCTTTGCATCTATTAAAAAATTTTCTAAGTTTCACTATTGTTTTGGTCACACAAGATCCTACGATCTAATTCGATTCTTTACATAGGACGTAACTGAGTGATGACATAAGTCTGCATGGGAATTCGACAAAGTCTATATTTATAAGAGTCCCCAATTCATAATTCGTATCCTAAAGTTTTTTCATTACTAAAAAAATTTTAAAGGTACGAATTATGAATTAGGGGAATCTTATAAAATAAACCTTGATGATTAATCAGTTCTCATTCTATATTACGATTTCCATACTATAAAAGTCGTAATATAAAAGTTGCGGGATTCATTGAATATTATTAACTTACGATATGAAAGCCTCAAATTTGCTTAATGTTTTATTCCATTTATTAAGCGAAAAAAAGTCATCATGATCTTACTAAATGACGGAAAGGTTTTCAATTCTGACAGGACCTATCAAAATACAAGAAATAGTAATCTAAACCTACTTTGGAACATTAGTAAAAATGTTGGGAAGGCAACTTTACCTATACAGTATATTTTAACCCTCACTCAACTTCATAACACAAAGTGACCCTAATCCAATTTCAATTAAATAAGCATTAAATTAGTTAATATTTAAATTTCGCACCGCTTCAACCAACCACCTTATTTGGATTATCCTTGAAAAACACCCCATTACATACTGCATAACGATAATAAATTGACTACAATTAGTTAAATCAAGAACAAACCAAATTCTAAGGGGTTAGACAAACATGCAACCCTATAAACAGAATTGCGTCATTTGTTAATTTAAGACCACGTTTTAATTAATATGTACTCCATTGTCTATTGCGCATAATCGGTCTTTAAAGCAATATAACTCATTTTATATGAAAATAAAAAACGATTCTATTACTTTAAAGAACGTGCTGAGAAGAATTTAATAAATATACTTGCATATGTTTAGAAGTTTTAATGCTATTATCGTTCAAATTTTATATATTTCTACTATTAAGAAAAACGACCGGAAATTTTACTATACCGTATTCTATCGTAAAGCACCGTCCCCATTTTTTTAAATGTCAGATTAGCGGAAATAACTTGGCTAAAGTACAATTACCGTTAATCTGACATTTAAACAAATGGGGTAAAAGGAATTCGGTTTGTAGGGGTCTTTGGATCCAATTCATTCAATGTACGCACTCACTTAGCACTGGCGTATCGCACCAAGTAGTACCACCTTCAAGATAACAACTGCGAGACGACACGGTCATCTTTAGGATCGTTGACCTTTTATCACGCCACTCATGCAATATGGTTACGTCACATGATGCCGATCCTGTACGTACCGAATCTGTGACAGGTTATGCTGATTGTAGCCAATAAAATCACAAGATCTCGTATAACTTAAAAAATTTCGAAAAGCATTGTGAAACCAGGATTTTACTATGATAACCACAGTTTGATTTCTAAATAGAAGTTTTCAGCACAAAATTTTAGTTATATGAAACCATTTTTAAATATCGAATATTACATATTAAGTAAATTAAAGCCAGCGCCAAATTCTTAGCTTTGTTTCTTTCGATTTGGTAATCAGTACGTGCGCCGATCTAGCTGTACCCTTGCGACACTATACTAAGAATTTATTTGGTCATTACATATCAATATGTAATTATTTATCCCAACCAATATCAAGTAAACGATCAAAATATTCAACCAATCAAAATATAGAATTGTCAACACACGTCTGTAGCATTCTTCGAACAATAACATTAACGTTTACAATTAGGCTAAACTATATATGCCGTAAAAACGATTTCGGCAAAGCAGAAATAGTTCTACAGCATGTGTACGTTAGACTAATGATTGGTATCCCAATTTTCCTCACCAGTTCCTATTGTATAAATAGAAGTTTTGCTTTTAATTGGACGAAATAGATCTCATCAGATAGGATCAGATAGGGATGTCAATCAATCCTACAGCAATTATGAACTGATTTTAAGCAAACTTTGTAAAAAAATTGAAAATTTTAATTGGTCTTCGGTCAGTAAGTAAAGTTACAGAAAGTTTATTTTTTAATTCTAATTAGTCTAGGTTTATTGGTTCTTGTATTAGTTTTTGAGTAATTTAGATAGGATCAATTAGGGACCGAACGATGTGGAAGAAATTTAATCCATCGGT